CAGTGCTGCCAAAAGTCCAAGCAAGAGCCAGACAGTTCTGGGTACAAGCCAGGCCTAGTAAGTTACCCACTGGAACTTCAATATAACAATTTTCGTTTAGTTGCTTATTTCTTACCAGATAAATCAAGAAATTATTGCCTAATAATGATTTCTCAGTAGCTGTAACAGATTTATAACAACATTTTCTAGATGATTCCAATAGATATTTTTCATGGGATGACATTTGCTCAGAACAGATCTGGTATATTTCCCAACAGCAGTGATGGGGCATGTCAAGTTGCATTTACTATGAAACTCTGCAGACTGATTCCTAAATGTTCCCCACAAAAAACTACTTACATCAGAATGAGATAGACCTCCGAGCAGTTTTAAAGATTCACTAACCGTCCTGTTTAAAACCATTAGTTAAGTGCAATTCTCCTCCTCTAAATGAAGTATCGCTCTAAATTATGCTGCTGAAACTCTGCAAGCCAACAGTGTTCATAAACCAGCCAACAAGATGTTAAAACTGATAAAGACTATTTATATAAAGCAATGTAACTTCAATTATACCTGTTAGAATAGTCTTGATAAATAGCCTCTAAGCATACAAAATATTCAGTCATTTTAATGTATGTCCAATCCATTTTTGTTGATGTTTACAATAGCCATAATTGCTTTTATGGAAGAAAAGTATTAGAAAATGATGAAATTTAAACTATTTGAAATGAGGCTAGCCAGCACAACATGCATAGGCAAGAGCTTCTCTCTTAGGTTGTAAATAAATTACACATCTTGATACAACAGTTCATATCTACAATACAGTGATTCAGCTGATATAAATTTGTAGTCAAGATTGATAAACAATGAGCTGGACTGTTCCAGTTTGAAAGCTGGAAACATACTTAAGACTGTGAAGTTGATTAAATACTTGTAGTAGTCAGACACATTCCACAAAATAAAAGTTTGCTGTATGTAACAGCTAATCCAGATTTGTGCTAGCACCTTCTTTCTACTTAAAACGTTATATTGGTGTAACAGATAATACACCCCACAAACATTACCTGCAGCATTAATACTTAAAAAAAAGTGCATTTCTACAAATATAATTTATTTATGGATCTGGTATAGGTTGTGTTTTCACTAGGAGACTACAGCAAACTAGTTTGATAAGTCTTACCAATACGACCAGGTCTTAAGTCAGTGGTTGGTGTCTAATGTGACTTAAGTGACAAAGATATTCCATACCTAAATTTACATATTACAAAAATATAGTGTCCATAAATCTGATGCATAGCTGTAGATACTAACACTACTCAGATCTTAAATATTAGGAAAGTTTTTCCTCCTGTGCTTTTCAGTTTTCACAACCTTCTCAATATTTATTTCCTTATTCTTACTTGCACAAGCTGCTTGAGAAACACCTTGTTTTCACATGAACTAATCTGAGAAATCACTTACATGTAGAATCCACTCTACAGCTCATTACTTCAACTTTTCTTCCTCAAGCAAATTAATTCTGATCTGCTGCAGTTAAGTTTTCCTTAGCTCTTTACTCTGAAAATGACACATTGTCAAAGATTTAGTTAAGGTTGGTAAAAAACTGGTAATTCCTCTTCTTTCTATTTTAAAGAGTAATTCTAACTATGTCTAATTAGGAGGACCTTTAAAGTAGATCCTAAATAAACCATAATTGAATAAAATCCTTTATACACATTTATATACTCACTTCACTGAACTAGTGTAAGTTTACACAAGGCCTCAGCAATGTAAAAACACTTTGAAATTAGTTTGGCTCATCAAAATTAAAACACTGGCTTGCCATGGACATCTCAGAAAATACAGCTTGCTAGGAACAACCTGAAGCAGCCAGACAGATGGGTGTCCTGGGAACTGGAGGGAGTAAATACTGACAGCAATGGGAAGTTCATTGGAGAGGTTTGGAGCTGTTTAAATAATCACCCCCTGTTTAAGGACTTGGCACTGAAATCCAATGGCAATTTGTACAGATCAAACCCCAGTAGGGCAGTTTATAATGGAATCTCCACCATTGTCTCCATTTCTACACAAATAGGTGCAATTTAATATTACTAAGGTGTCAAGCATAGTTTTCTGAACTCTGATTCTCTTTCTTTAGAGGAAGGTTTCTAGTAACATTAAAGTTTTTCACTGATTTATGTGAAGGAATGCACTGAGCAGCTCAAGGCCCAGCGTTGCTGAGGGATGTCAGAGTTCAGCACAACTCATCATGAGCCACACACAAAATCCACCAGAGGACACAACACTCAAACTGTTAATAACACTTAGCAACAAAATCTGAAGAACTACTCAGACTCATATTTTTTCCCTTTACACACAGGTATTCCTTGAGCATGTTGCATCAAAATTAAGAATTTACAATATTGTCCATCTGCATAGTGTTGAGAAGAATTTTAATTTTCTGAGGTTTTGGTATCACTGAGAATTTATGTTTGATACACAAAGTGAGTCCTGTGATTGCTTATTACACATGAAAAAAACCCTCAACGCAGTATTAAAACACAACAAACTGGGAGCGTTTGCAATTTGTGAATGAGACATTTAGTATTATATATTAGTATACTAATGTAAACTTACTCCTGGAGAAAAAAAAAAACCCACAGATTAGCATAGTCTTCAAAACAATTAGCATGGGATCTAGAGAGAACTACTTTGAATTAATTTCTATAATAAGTAGACTTCTTTAAGACCTGAACTAGCTGTTAAGAGGATATTATTTAGATGCTTGTCAAAATGTAATAATTTTTAAGTTGAAAGCATCACTCAGGAGTCCTCAGACATTCATCCATTCAGATCATACAAAACCATTGGTACCACCAAGGGCTGGATCACCAAGCCTGGCTATATAGCATCTTTCTAAACCTGAAGCAAGCAGAAAAATTGTATGAATTGCAGACTTTAGCACCCAACAATGCTTTATTAACCTTGTTGTATTTTCCTTCTTTATAAAAAATGGATTAGAACTTTTTAAAAACCTTCACTTGGCAGTCTGCTTTACCTATTGGAGAGTTTACATTAGAATGACTTGCACAAAAAACAAGCCTTATTTCACTGAGATAATTTTAAAAATACTTACTGCTTTTTAATGTGTAGAACAGCTAAAGTGACCAGAACATTGAATGACCATCCTTTGGTTTAGCGGACTAAAACATTCTTCAGCCAAATGTTACCCAGAGAAATTATTTTACTGAGTGGTCTCTTTTAACTTTGCTCTTTGAGACTGCAGACTTGCAAGGATGGTTGCAATCCATGAACCGTCAACACAGATCAGTTAACCTGAACAGGAATGGAAATGTCTTGGAGTCATTTAAGGATGCTGAAGTAAGAGGAGAAAAAGAGAGGGCAATGACATTAAGCAGGAGTCATCAATAACTAATATTAAGACAAATTAAGTTGTTCAGGTGCTGTCCCCCCCGTTCTGTACAATGTGAAATGCAACTCGCCCATTTTGCTGCCTTCATCACTTTGCCCCTGCAGACCAAAAATGCATTCCCAGTAAGAGTTCTCAAAATAAAAAGCAAATCCTTTAAATGAAAATTTAAGTTTATTTTGAAATTTTCAAGTAATTTCTATCAATTTAGACACAGTTTGACATTATCAGATCATTTACAGTGATTCATGGATAAAGATTTGGCTTTTACATTCAAATGTTAAATACTTCAAAATAGCTTTGTCATGTTATTTCCAAACCAGAAACACTAAAGAGCATTTTATTTTGCCTTTCAACCATCTTTGTTAATTAACAGACTTCTGATATCTGCTGTAGTTGAAGGGGAATGTGCAAAACACCAAAGGAATTATTTTGTGTGAATAAAGTGAGTACCTTAATTACAGTTCCAGATTTAAGACTTGTTCACTGTAGCATCAAAAGGCAGTGCTAAGAAGAAAGACGTTATTTATTTTTAAAAAATATATTTTTCTCAGGTAGAGTGCAGAACCTGAGTTAAAAGCCTCTTTATGAAAACAAAAAGGTCTTGCTATCCCATGTTAACATCATTCAGTCTTACAGTTTAGCAAGTTTTGTCCAGTTTTCATAATTGTTTTCGAAACTATTATAAAAATTTCATCTCTATCCTAACACAATCCTTGTATTAGTCTTTAACAACAAAATTCAATTTATCTATCAAGACTTAATTGTGTTGATTTTATTGCTTACTATGTTTTTTTTCTTACTCTCTACCACTAATTTGAAACTGGATAAACAGAAAACATTTGCAGGGAAGAGATTTGACCAATTTGCCCATTCTGGCAAGGAGGGTGTCCCTCAGGCATGTGCACTACAATTGACTGTTCCAAAGTGAATTCCAGCCTGCTGCTCTCCAAGAGGGACAGCCTCTCTACCAAACATCTGAGAAGTTCAAAACTCCTCCGGTTTGTAAAAAACACGAGCTCCAAAGCCCTGGGAAAAAAGGCAAGGGGAATCTCACAGGAAGGTACTCAAACAGCTCGTTTTCCTTTGCACACACCTCAGTGTAATAGGCTGCTGCTGCTGCTGCCTTCAGTCAGCAAGCAGCACCATGGAAGATTTGTGACAACAGGAGGAACTTTCTGCTAGAATCAAGCCTTTGTACTATTAACAAATTTGGGGAGGGGGGAAGCACAGATTTTGTTTTGTGAGAGGAAAATGCTTCTCAAATCTGACATAATAAATTTTGTCCCCCATCTTTATTTTCACTGTCTGATGGATCAGCAGCAGCAATGTGCCAGGAATGCTCTAATTGTCTGATTCCAGAAGTCTGCTGCATTTCAAGAAGCACAGGCACATTCCCTGGTCAGGTACACACAGCAGCAGGTGTGAAAGGTCTGTTAGATTACAGTTTAGAAGCCATATAAGAAACACAAATGCAATCCTAATCTTCCCTCCTGACAAAGTCTGTTAACCTACTTAATCCACAGGAATGATGATATGTAGCTCAACTAAACAAGTGTATTCATAAGCCTTTACAGTATACAGAAAACTCAGTTCTGTCCCCTGACGCTGTTTTCAAGTTTGTTTTATTCACTCTTTTGGATGACTATAAATAAGTGTTTCCACTATGGAAAAGAATGTTAGCACAGTACATTTTCATGACAGGGGAATGAATTTTTCTGAAGACACCTTCCAAAGGGCAAAAGCTTAGAAAAAAACAACAATGTGAATGTTGAATTCAGTTCCATATAAAGTCCCTTGTAAAAATGAAAAACAAAAATACCTAAAAAAAAAAAAAAAAAAAAGTGTAAAGGAAAAACGGCAAGGCCCAGGATGATTTTATTGCTTTTCTTCAGTTTTTTCCTTGGTCTCTTTCTTCTCAGATTCTCTGCTCTCTTCCTTTACAGAAAGCTCTTCTAGTTTTTCAGCAACTTTATCAGCACTATCATTTTTGTCTGTGCCTGCTGAAAGATCGGTTAGGAAAAGTATTACATACAGGCAGTAATGGATTTTCCTGTTAGAAAGAGTAAAGAAGCAGAGGGTGAAGGGGGTGGGGAGATATTCTTCACTGACCACTGGAGTGACTCATTCCATTTCTGTTCCTCTGGAAATAACTTCAGATATCAGAATTCAAGAAACACCACTTGCATACATTAATCACTACACAAGGGTTTAATCACAAGGACTGAGGACTGTGTAACATCTGGCCAGTTGTGCTGCTACCAATAAAGTATCCAGAGAAGTCCTTCGCTTCTTGTCATCTTAACCAAAAAAAACAAAGTCAAGTTCCCCAGTTTGAAATTGGGGCAAGGGAATTCCTATGACTGGAAAACTCCAATCTAAATATCTTGAAGAATGCTGACTGCAGAGCACTGGTAGCCTGTACTTAATAAAGATAATGTTTGCTTTATTTACATGGTGAGATACCTCGTCACAAAGGCAGTTCTAAAGGGAGGTGCAATAATCTATTAGAGACTTATGAACAACCTCACACAGACTAATAACTGTAAAAAACATTAAATATTGTACTTGCATGATTATACATTTGTGAAATTTGGGAAAGGGACCTGGAAGGGAGAAAGAGCACTGTGGTTGCAGTGTTCACAGTTCATTTGTTTACTATAAGCCATAAATATTTCCTTGGCAGCCTTTCCAAAGCAGCCATGTCCCAACAGCAACTGTAACAGCCTTCCACAGGAAAGAAGGCCATCGTCACTCCTGTGAGCTCTTACTCTCGCAGACAGAAAAGCACCTGAACTGAAGGCTGCAGTTCAGCACAGAGTGAGTCTGCTGGAACACAACACACCAGGGTACTGTAACCACTCACACAGCTCAGAAATGTGGCACCAAGTACACTGAGACTACCTTACCTTTCTTTGCTGTCTTGCCTACTTCATTCCTGCATTCTTCAAATTTTGCCTTGAATTTCTGTGCATCTGTTTCAGTGAAGATAAAATATTTTTTCATTACTTTTCCCACCTCACAACATTGAATACTTCTAATCTTGAAGAAAGATACCCCAGGAGAAGCTTTATGTAAACAAAATTTGTAGGGACTTATGAAGTAATCTAGTAAATCATACAAGATGCAAAATTCTTCAATCACATCTTTGTGCAAAAGCAATTCATCTTCTTCAGCAAGTTTACTGAAGCAGCTTACTTTGCAAAATACTCAAAATGTAATGCCAGCAGGAGCTGTTTTGTAGTTATTGCAACTCCCAGCTGTCTGTAGCCTAAAGGAATAGGAATATGATGTCAGAGACTGCTAATAGAACTATCTGTATGCAAAAGACTGAAAATTAGCTTGGAACTGCTATTTTTGCCAGCTGTGTTACACCCTAAGGGTCTTCCACAACCTGACCACAACTGGGGGCTCTTAGCATCAGCAAAGGAAGATAATGCCTGTTTTACCAGTACAGCATTCAGACTCTGTACCTCACTGTAACCAGTGAGGGTTATTCCTCACTGCAAGAGCCAATAATGCATAATCTTCATTACCTTCTGGTCTAAGCCACCACTCAATTCAACAACCATTCCAAGCAGCTGATCAAATTTCAATAATGTCTCTACACAAGACAAGGGATTGGGCAAGGATCTTCCTGACACCAGAATAACCAAGGTGCTACTAGCCTGGCATGCCAGGCTGGTCTGGCTGACCACAGGAGGTCACTGTTGGCCCACAGGAATTCTGAAGGCACTTTGTAACTAGTCCAGGAAGTGTTTGTATCAATTCCTTTTCAAGCATCTCAAACAGCAGAGACACCCCAAGGTCAAACTTATGTCTGTTCACCTGTCAGTTGCTTAGTCAGTACTGCAAAGGGCGAACAGGAAGAAAGGCCTACTCCCTCAAGACAGACCATTCAATAAGCTGAACAGCTTCTACCAGAAAGGGGGCAAGACTTTTCAGAGATGAGCAAGTAGTTACCCTTTCATTTCCTACTTGATCATGAAGCAAGCACTAGTCAGGAGGACCAGAAAGGTTTATTTGGCTAAACAAAATAACTCTGGAGACTGAAGGCAAAGGAGAAAGGCAAGATATACTAAGTTCTTTCCTGATGTAGCCAAATCCATTAAGTTTTAAAATATATAACCACCTTAAGATCCATCTAGTATGTAATGAGAAAAGGAGGCTAACATACTAAACTTGTTTGGCAAATTGTAAAGCAAAGAATGCAACACTTTTTTATTTTGCTTCTTTAAAAAAAAAAAACAAACCAACAACAAAACAAAACATCATAAACCTCCTCTGCCTCCAAACACTTCTTTCATTTAATCCTAGTTCATCCACTACTAGAGTTACTTTTCTGGTAGTCGGTGCAGTCACCTACAAAATCCACTAACATGATGGGTATGACTGGAATTTTGCACTGAGGGTTCCATTTAGTAAAAACAGAGAAGAAACTACATACTTCATTAAAAAAAGAAAAACCAACCCAGATGTTCTCCTAATGCAGACAGACCAGAAGTATCAGGTCAGGATTTCCTTGTTTCTAATGCAAAAATCTAATCTTAACTACAACTGAGCACCAGAATTACATGAAAGTGAGCTGCAAGTGAGTCTCTTAACTGCCTTTAGTTTTATTCTAATTGGCATTGCACTTACATGAAATGGCTTAGGTTAAAAAAGTCCCTAGGGCAGAAACTGTACAAATATTACTGCAGATCTAATTACTACACTGTTTGTAAACAGATATGGTTAAATGATTAACAGACTTCTCTCAGATAAAGAATTAATTAGCTAACACTACCATGCAGGGGTACATCTCCAATAATGGTTTAGAGCAGCATTTATACAAGCAGGGAAACAACAGTTTACAATCAGTATAAGTTCAGGGCCAGTCCACTCACTCTCTGCGTTTAGAAATCTGATTGCCAGAAGTTCAGGCTTGGGGCTCTCATCTGCAAAGTCAGCATGTGTGTTCCAGACCCATGCCCTGTCGCTTCCAGCATTAGGCTTCAGCTCCATTAAGGGTGTGACTGAAAGGAAAGCATTAAAAGATGTACACAGCACAACAGCAAATGCTTTCCACACCAGCCTCCATAAATCTCAGTGACAACAGGCTGCGATGCTTACATAAAGCACTTGACACAGAATTACTTTGGGATAAATACAAGACAGTGGTGTTCATATATACTTTTCCTTACATTGTCAGATAAAATCATGCATGGCCATTACTGTGTGAGAGGATGCTGGATTCACTACTGTTAGGAAAAAGAGCTGGATTAAATTTTTGCTTAAAACAGATGACTGTGATACTAAGAGATGCAGTCACTGAGCACAGCTCTGAAGTACCGACAAATTATTCAGGAGGAAAAGGCATCCAGACAAACAACACTCATTCTTCTTCTGCACACCAAAACTACTACCAAAATTAATTTTAAAAAGCATTATTCCTTCAATTAGTCATCAAGTTAATTACCCTTCCCATCAGTTTAAAGCTGTACTACAAGACAATACAGAATTCTGCAGTGCCGCAAAGTGGAAACAGCATCTTTTCCATCTGTTTGTTCCCTCCCAGTATATGGGGCCCTGTCTCTCCAAGACACTACAATTACCTCACCTGACTGACTGGAGAAGTTAAAATGTTACTTCCCACAGTACCTTAAGACTTTTTACATTACAGATATGCAAAGTGTAAGCAGGGCTTTTTTTCTCCTTGGGCCCTGTCTAGTTCAGGAGAAATCTGAAGAGTCCCTTCCCTGCATTTTTAACATCTAGAGATCAAAATACATTTTGCTCCATTTAATGCTTCGCAAAAACAAAGAGAGTTCTTTAGTCTGACTGTGAGTCAGCATAAATTCAATAAACAAATCTATATGGAGAGCATCTTTTTCAGGAAAAAAAACCTAAACAACTTTTGACATGAATACTGTAAATTCATCGATTCTGTTTTGCTATGTGCAACAATTATTTCCCTAAACAAAAGGTTTATTCCTCCTGGTTAGCAGCATTATTGAGGTTTGCATTAAGCTACTTATTTCAAGTTATCTAAATGTAGTTTAACTCCACAGAACACTACAGATTCCTCATATAAATATCTGAATATCACCAAAGCAAGCAAAGTATTACCCAATTGGTCTACTTGTTGCAAGTTGTGCTGACTTTCAAGTCTGTCTTGCTCTTTCATGTTTTTTTGAATTCAAAGAGGATTCTTTTTTGAATGAGTCAGCCCAATATAACATGTTCATTTCAGTTTATTTCACAAGCAGAGAAAGGCAGACTCAGATTTTTAGCACCTCAGTCTCTTGTTTTCTGATAGTTAAGGATTGGTTTTGGAAATTCTAACATTTAGCTCAAAGAAGTAAACTATTACATCATGGTTTTACAAGAGCAAGCCAGCATATATTAAATTCTTATTCCAAACAGTATTAAGGCTTACATGTTCTACACTGTATTAATCATTCAAATCACACACACACACACTGGAAGCAATCACATAATGCCTGTCTATCACAGCTAAATTTTAAAGTGACTTTAGTTAGCCTTACAGCACTCTCAGACTATGAAGGAAAAAACCTCCAGCTTCCTTCCATTAATACAATTAACCCCCCATGTTTTTTGATGCCTGTATGCCCTGTATGAAGAGCAAGAGACAACCATACTAAAATTCTACCATCTTATTTTTTAAATCAAGAATAAGTTTAGCAATGTATAACATACTGTAATGGTTTGCACAGATTTTTAGGGTTTTATCCCTCCGCATGAGGAGGCGAATTGTTCCCTTCTCCTTGTGTTTCAAGAGTTTCACATCACCAGTTCCTCGTTCTTTCCATTCTGGAAGGTCATTCTCAGATGCAAACCGGAAGAGCTTTGCTCGCCTTAAAGAACAGAAAATTTAATCAGCCTGCATGTACTAAAACATTTATTAAAACACCACACCTGACCAAACAGCACAGTTCTTTATAAAAGACACACACAAGAAGAAAACAATTTCTTTAATAAGATCCCCTGTTCTACTTCAATATACACATTCAGAAACTGATATAATAAATTCAAATCTTAAATATTAGGAATTATGTAATAACTGTACTAAAATTCAACGGGTTCTGGATACTCTTAGGGGATGATGAACATATTTGGTGTAGGTAACCTTTTAAATTCACATAGCTAATTAACAGGTTTTGCTATAGCCAGAGTTCACCACACTACCTGTTAGAAACTGACCATCACTTTAGTTATTATCAGAATCTGTACAAGGAGAACTCAGATCTCTCTTCCAGATGAGCAATGCCATTCTGTTATTAAATAAAAGCAAAATTTTTTAAACCTATTTAAAGCAAGCACATCAGGGATCAAATTCAAAATGCTCTTAAGCCTTTAGACTACATTTTTTTCTTCAGGCAGATCAAGCCATCCTGATCTGACAATAAGTGTAATCTAAGGATGAACTGTGTTGAAGACAACGTACAGGAACTGCCACAAAAGCCCCAATACTGTACTGCAGCTGTTGCTTTTGTTATTTCAGTACCTTGTACATTACTCTTCACCAGGGATGCGTGGCAGCAACACCACATACATCTCATTCCCCTCCTCCCAAGACACTCGCTTCACATTCACACATGATTACAATTTCAATAATCATTACCTAAGTTGTTGTCTTTTATGCAAACAATGCTAAAGCCAGATTTGCAGTATCAGCTCCCTTCTATGGTTCCAGAATCCATTTTCTTGGGGAAACATCAATCACTCCCCACTCAATGTCTGCCACCACCATGCAGACCAAGTCAGATTACCCCTTCATACAGAGAATGCTGCAAGTTATGCAGCTTTAATAAACACTGTCAAGTTTAAGCCTAATGAACATTCAGATAAGAGCGAGAAATATTCTACTCACATCTTAAAGAGTTCTTCCTCATCCTCTTCCAGAGTTTTTATTTCTTGCTCTGGAAGAGAAACTATGGGCTCAAACTGAGGATCGTGGTTAGAATCATCTGCATTTTCAGTAGAAGTATCATGCTCCTCATGTGCTTCCTGAGGAGAAAAAAAGATAACACAAACTTGCTATGTACCCAAACCCTGAAGCACTCACACCTGTGTTTAAAACATTTATGACTTATCAGCAACTAGATCTTAGTAACTGAAATATCCCAAACAGTAAAGAAATATGATTATATCTGAAAACAAATGACTTTCAAGCCAACGTGCAGTTACACTAAGAAACAAAAAGATGCTCATGCAGTGCTAGGTGTTTTAATCCTACCACTTAGGAATTGTGCAGAGGCTTGGCCTTGGAGTAATAGCTCTTGGTTATGGAAAAGTAATTTCTTCTTTTAAAAGTAATTAACTTTTCCTCCATAATGTGTTTTATGCTACTAAACCCCTTCTACTTCTTAATGCCTAATAACCTATTGTTAATAGGAAAATTATTAAAAACCCCACACAACATCCACCTAATCCATCTTACGGGACACACTGCATCCTGAGTTTATCATTCTGTCTTATGTATTAGAATCACCCCCAATCAACACACTCAAAGATATTTTGAGGCACAGCTGTAACACTCATGGAATAATTTAGGTTTCTTGCTTTAAGACTCCTCAAGGAACATTAAGTTACAGGTAAATAGCCAAAATAATACTTCCTATTTAAGTTGTTTAGGAACCTGCCAGAGGATTCATTAAGCTAAAGACTGTTTTTTAGTATGTGACTAGTAAGTAAATGATAAGCATCTCTAGTGCTTCATACATATGGACTGCTAAGAAGCACTCAGCACACAAGCCTAGGAGGGAGATTCATATGCAAGTTTAACAAAGCCACACAACAGCTATCTCAGGTCAAGGGAACTGATTTGGGTTTGGGTTATGTTTTTTTGTTGCTTCTTGAGTAACAGAAAGGAAAAATAGTCTACACGTAGATGAACTTTAAATTATATTTTTACTTTACAAATGGAAGAGTCCACTCTTACAGGCTCTATTCACAATGACCTTTACAGAGAAGGTATGCACCATGTATGAATAAAGCAACAGAAATAAAGCAGTCTATTTTTACTAAATAGTAAACAAAAGAAAAAAGAGGGGGCGAGGGAAAATTAGGTAAAAAATGGTGCAAAATAAAATCCAATTGCATCAACAATGTTACACAAGCTATTGCCAGTTTTATGTCCCCAGTGTTCCAGCATGAAAAAAAGGCGAGAAAGAAGTTACTTCACATCTGTTTCCAAAAAACAGGAAAAGAAACGTTAGCCAAACTTTTATACATTGTATCCATGTGTGTAAGTAGCACATCCCGCATGGTAATTCATCATGCGTTCTGCGCCTGAGCAAGTCATTACACAGACCACGAGAAACGCACAATTCATGTGCGAGAACGTGGATCCCGTTATCACGATACGATCCCGCATTGCCGCGATATAAAGCACGTGGGCAACTGCTGCGGTACGAGGGGTCCGGCCAGCGGGCCGGGGCGGGAAGAGAAGAAAGGAAGGAAACGGGGAGGACTACCCCAAAGGTCCCGGGTTTCTCTGGCTTCCTCATGGCAGGGAACGGCCAAGGCAGGTGGAGGGGCCGGCCCGAGCGGCCACACGTGCCCGGAGTGGCCGCAAACTTCCAACCCCGCGGGCGCGGCCGCTCCAGCCCCCAGCAAGGCCCAGCGTTCGTCCCCCCCCACCCGGCCCTACCCGACCTGGGCTCCCCCCGCGTGGCCCCACCTGTTTCCGTTACTCTCCCACCCCGGCCCTCGCTGCCGCGCTCTCCCCCCCGCGGTTCCGCGCGCCCGCGGCCGCCTCTCACCGCGGTGTCCGCCATGGGCCCGATCGCCGCGCTTCGCTCGCCGCTTCCTGCCGCGCGCCCCGCCCGCCTCTACCTCATTCCCGCAGCCCGCGCCGCGCCGCCGCAAGGCTCCATGGGAAGCGCCCGCTCCCCCCCCCCCCCGCGGCCCAGCCCCGCCTCCGGCGCGGCCGGAGCACCGCCCGCCCCGGCTCCGCCACATCGGTCCCCCCACGGGTCCCCGGAACCGGCCCCGGTACCGGCCGTGTCACCGAACCCCGGTACCGACCGCCGGCTCGGCCCCTCCCGCCCCCTGAGAAGCGTTTTTGTTGTCCCGTTTCCCAGGCGCTTTTCCCATCACCCCTTGCGCCATGGCGGCGGCATCCCCCGTCCCGGCCCAAGATGGCGCACGCGTGAGGGAGGGGGTGATGTATGAGCTGCTGTTTATGTGTTTAAGGGCCGCAGGTGCTCTCGGGGACGAGGAGCGGCAGCGCTGAGGAGCAGCGCTGAAAAAACCAACCAAGTGATTCCTCTGCCGTCATTCTCCCCGCAGCGGCCCGTCCGTGAGGCTACGGCCCCGCCCCGGGAGGTGTGCGGGGTGGCGGAGGGGCTGGCGGGACCATGGCGGAGGAAGGTGAGCGCTGCGACCCCGACCGTGACACGGCTCCTGTGGCGGAGGCTGGCGATGGGGCTGAGCCGGACAGCCAGGCCGGGGAAGACCTCGCGGATAGCCCCGACGTATACAGATACATTAAGGGAGACTTGTTCACCTCCGAGATCTATAAAGTAGAGATACAGAACCTGCCCAAATACATTGGGTTTAACGATGTGAAAAAGTTCCTTGCCAAGTACGGGCTCAATCCTCACAAGATAAAACTTTTCGGAAAGCAGACGTTCGCCTTCGTGACGTTCAAGAGCGAGGAGGAGCGGGACAAGGCCATGCGGGTGCTGCACGGCGCGCTCTGGAAGAGCCGCCACCTCAGCGTGCGGCTGGCCAAGCCCAAAGCCGACCCCATCGCCAAGAAGAGGAAGCAAGAGGAGGATTCGGAGCAGGGAGAGGCGAAGCGTCCGGCTCCCTGCGGAGAGGAGCCTCTGAGCAAGCGGATCGCGGATGTGGTGACCCCGCTGTGGAACGTGCCCTACGAGGAGCAGCTGGCCCAGAAGAAGCAGGAGTGCGAACAAGTGCTGCAGAAGTTAACAAAGTAATTCCTGTTTGTAACGTAATGTGTACAAGACTTGGCCTTGTGATGAGATATAGCTAAATTGACATCAATTGATACCTCTAAACTGAAGTGAGTTAGAGGTAGGTCAAAACTCGATCCCCTGTCAAAGTAATTACAAGATGATCTGTGATGCTACAGCCTAAAAGCTGTTCCATCTGACAAAACCTGCTATTGATGTTCTTGGTCACCTTCAAAAGATTGATTAATGAAGGGAACTTGGTTTTAAAGTCTCTTGTTCCATAAGCAGAAGGATCTATGTGCCTGTAAAAAAAATGGCATTGTCACATGGTGTAAGAGAGAATCAATTTGTAGAGATGGCAATTTACTACTACGATTTTCTCTTTTAAAATCCCCTCATAATATGCCTGGTCTTTGGAGATCAAAGTATTACTTCTGTCTCTTGCCTTGGATAAAACTGGTGTTAATTATCATGTGTGGGTACGTTCATAAATCCAGTACATAACCATTATAACTACATTTAACCCTTACTTTTTCAGGTTACAGCTCTTATGAAGTTGGAGAGGATTTGCTTGTTAAAAAAATTCTGGAAGAAACACTCTTCCATGTGACAATCTGATTCTTTTTTTGTGTCCTATAGGAAAAAGAAGCCTTGTGCAACTCTTGAACTCAATTTTTCTAAATGCGTGCTTTACACTTTTTGTTTCTGATTTGGGCAGGGAAATAGGAAATAACAACAGAACTTTATTACCCTGGTTGTTCCTGCAGAAGCAGAAGTTTAATAAATTATGTTGCCCAGTGGAGGGAGTGAAAGCATCACCCTTACAGGTAATGTAATCTCAGGTAAAGTGTGGAACAGAGTTAATGAGCTGAGGGTTATGTTCATTATTTGGTCTTGAGAGGCAGTGGACAAACTGAGTATTCAACTTCATCTTATAATAAATGATGAATTTTAGATGTTGTTGCCTTTAATGTAAATACTGTGTGGAAATATTAACAAGAAGCAGAAAAATGGATAACCGGATTATTATAACTTTAAAATTAATATGCTGTCCTTGTAAGCCTGTGTTGTAAGCTAATACATTCCTCAACAGAGGAAATATTTTGCTTTTTAAATAACAAGATTTACTAATACCTTTTCATTATTACTCTTAGTTCACACACATCAAAATCCACGAGTATCTTCCATATGAGCTAAATGTCCTGGGTTCATTTTCAGATGATTTTAACCACATGGGATTTGTTTCAGGAGAAACGTGGCATGTACAAATAAATGCTGTGTAAATATCTTACATAACTTTATTTTAAATCTAGACTGAATATCGCAACAAATGTGAGTTCTTGATTGGGATTGGTGTAAATCAAGAAGACAAAACTGTGGGTTGTCGTCTTGGCAAATATAAGGGTGGTACATGTGCTGTAGTGGAGCCATTTGATACTATTCACATTCCTGCTATTGCCAAAAAAGTAGTAAAAGCTTTCCAAGACTACATAAGGTGAGCATAAGTAAAATGAGTTATGCATAAAGATTTTGATATCTTAATCAAAAATATTTATACATTTAATTAGTGTTTGTTCCGAGTTTTAAGATCTAAGATATACCAGTCTCAAATTCTAGTGATTCTGTTTCCACCTTGTGCCTGGATCATGGGGACTTTTTCCCTTGCTTCTGCTCAGCTGCTCAGAGGTGGGGACAGGTACCAACTGAACACAGCTTTATTGCAAGCAATGGGATGTGTAAGTATGCAGTAAAAAGTGTCTGTTGCTCAGGAGCTTTTCCACTAATTGTAAAGAAAAACACTTCTGAAAGGCATAATTAATTAACCAAGGTCCACTGCTTCCTTGGATGAGAAGAATCATCCTACAGAAAGGAATAAACCAAAAGTTGCACATTTAAGCAAGAGTACTTCTTTAGAAAATGCATTCTTTAAAAAGCAGTTAAATCCACAAAAATGGAAACCTCAGAAGGATCATGAAGATGGAAGATTTGAACTTGATATGAAGCAGAGAAGCTGATGAAAGCATTATAAAAAGTTATGTCAGTCTCTGAATGAAGTGAGAACCTGCCTCTTGCCTCTGTAATTCTGCATGTGTTAAAATGGGTAAGAGGATTTTGAGAAGGAGGAGCAGATCATTTTGCTATAGGAGATACTAAATCCATCAGTCTTTCTTAGCTGGAAGTCATTCTTTTTTTGACAAATCCATGTACCCTTTTTTTGTAGTCAGCATTTTTTCCATCGCTTCGCACAGTGACCTTCTTTTGATTCAATGCACTGTTTAATGTTACACAAAAAAAAGAATTCTTTGTATAAGTAACTGATCTTTTGCAAACTGCAGGTCAACTCCTTACTCTGTGTACAGCCCCGAAACCTATGAAGGGCACTGGAAACAGCTCACGGTCCGCACCAGCCGCAACGGCCACATCATGGCAATTGCTTATTTCAATCCTCAGGTATTTCACTTGATATGTAATGAGCAGCCCAGACTCACAGCTGTAGAACTACTTAAATTTGAGTTATGAATTGTGCATACAAAAGAGAAATAGAGTAATTATTTGGTGTGGTTTACCTTGCTTCATTGCTCTAATTCTACTTAGGCTAATCTAATACATGGATATGAACAAGTAATATTCTTATGTAAATCATACACTAAATCATATCTTGAAGTCACTAAAACAGTTATTCTCCCTTTTTTCACATGAAAACTTTAGAAATTGAATAAAGAAGAACTAGCTGACCTGAAAATCTCTCTGGCAAAATACTTCACAGAAGGGATGGGAAAGAGTAGTGGTGTTACTTCCCTGTACTTTGTGGAGGAAGGACAGAGGTGAGGGAGTTGCCTTCGTTTTGGCATTTTGGTGGTGGCTGAATTTTTGGTGTTTGCAAATTTCATAGCATTGTTTTGTCTACTTCATAGAAGTAGCAGCAGTTGTTACTAATTTGTTGAAGTTACCTTTTCCACAAGAGACTCCTGAAATTTCCCATTCTCTGGAGTTCATTCATGTAACAAGAGTTTCAGTGGGTGAACCCACTGACCACAGCTGGCTGTCAAGCTATAGAAGTGTTTACTGCAGTAGATGAATGTTCGTTATTATCAAGCAATTTCTGCCTTTCTTCCCTATTTATGTGAATTTTTCAATCTCCCCATCCTCCATAGAGCACAAGGCTCACACCATCTTCATCTAGAGATGGTGGAGGTCCTTCCACCCTGAGACATTAACGGCCAAGGAGAGCCTCCATGAGCACATGATAAATTACTGCTTAGGATGTAGCACTACAGTTTTTAGGATGATTACAGGACGATGATTTAATTTGGTGAAGATTGTAACAAACATGTTTGTCTTCTTTTTTTGGTTTTGTCTCCCTCTTCCTCCCCTGCCAACAGGAAATCTCCCAATCTAGAGGACTTGCCTTTGGAGCATGTGGCTGGTGATAAGTACATATATGAAGAACTCCTTGGCCTAAAATTTAGAATTTCTCCTCATGCATTTTTTCAAGTAAGGGTGATGTGAAGCTTCTCATTTAACTGGATCTGCATGAATGCTCTTGTTCCACAGCTTGACTAATGCTGTGAAACAAGATGTTCATACCTAGAAATTTAACCTTTTATATATTTGGTGTGATTAAACAGCAGTAAATATTATGTTTGGCTGTAAAAGCACTGTAAGCTTGATGGGAGCACATGGAAGACAACTTTTTCTGTTTACTAGTTCGTTATAATTTTCCTCCTGTTTAACGGCAGCCTTTTGAAACACTGAACATGCAAAAATACAGTACAGGAGTCTTGTATTACTAATTTTTGTTTGCTTTTCCGAAACTTGTTTCTGCCCTTCCAAAACTTTAAAATGTGTTTTTAATGTATAATGATTTGTTTTTTAGAAATAAGAAAACATGCTTTACTAAGACTCATTAAAACATATTTACTGTTTATGAAGTAG